TGATTCAAAACTGTCTTTTGATTTCTTTATTTTTTTTCAAATAAATTAACTTCATTTCGTTTGTTGAAAAGAAAACAAACTCAACTATCGATCAGTAAAATTGTTAAGGTCACGAACAACTTCTCGATCCAGTTTACTGAAATTGGGTTACTTTTCTCAAGAAAGTCGACCATTAGTTGTCCTGAAAATTCAACGAGCTTCGAGGCCATTTATTTTTAATTTGAATTTCGAAAGTTAAGTTTCGCAAAAAACTAGCCAGTTTTTTTCTGTTTCCTTGCGTTCATTTACTTTTTGAACTGTTTGTTGGCTCTGATTGATATTTTTTAGAATTGCGAAATTGTCAAGTTATAGTGAATGGTTCGTGAGCTTATGAATGGGTCAAAAGATTGGTCTGCTTATATTTGTTGATTTAATTCCCACAGTGTGGACTTTGCTTATGATTTAAGCAATTTTCACTAAAATTTAAAACTATTTGTTGTTTTCTGCTAATGGTGGACGTAATTGAGTATTTTTTGATACACAATTTTCTTTTGATTTCTTTTTTTTTTGAAATAAATTAATTTCATTTCGTTTGTTGAAAAGAAAACAAACTCAACTATCGATCAGTAAAATTGTTAAGGTCAAGAACAACTTCTCGATCCAGTTTACTGAAATTGGGTTACTTTTCTCAAGAAAGTCGACCATTAGTTGTCCTGAAAATTCAACGAGCTTCAAGGCCATTTAATTTTTTTGAATTTCGAAAGTTAAGTTTTGCAAAAATACTAGCCAGTTTTTTCTGTTTCCTTGCGTTCACTTGCTTAACTGTTTGTTGGCTCTGATTGATAATCGTTAGAATTGCAAAATTGTCTAGTTATCGTGAATGGTTCGTGAGCTTATGAATGGGTCAAAAGATAAGTTAAGTTTTGCAAAAATACTAGCCAGTTTTTTTTCTGTTTCCTTGCGTTCATTTACTTTTTGAACTGTTTGTTGGCTCTGATTGATATTTTTTAGAATTGCGAAATTGTCAAGTAATAGTGAATGGTTCGTGAGCTTATGAATGGGTCAAAAGATTGGTCTGCTTATCTTTGTTGATTTAATTCCCACAGTGTGGACTTTGCTTATGATTTAAGCAATTTTCACTAAAATTTAAAACTATTTGTTGTTTTCTCCTAATGGTGGTCGTAATTGAGTATTTTTTGATACACAATTGTCTTTTGATTTCTTTTTTTTTGAAATAAATTAATTTCATTTCGTTTGTTGAAAAGAAAACAAACTCAACTATCGATCAGTAAAATTGTTAAGGTCACGAACAACTTCTCGATCCAGTTTACTGAAATTGGGTTACTTTTCTCAAGAAAGTCGACCATTAGTTGTCCTGAAAATTCAACAGGCTTCAAGGCCATTTAATTTTTTTTTGAATTTCGAAAGTTAAGTTTTGCAAAAATACTAGCCAGTTTTTTTCTGTTTCCTTGCGTTCACTTACTTAACTGTTTGTTGGCTCTGATTGATAATCGTTAGAATTGCAAAATTGTCTAGTTATCGTGAATGGTTCGTGAGCTTATGAATGGGTCAAAAGATAAGTTAAGTTTTGCAAAAATACAAGCGAGTTTTTTCGTTTCCTTGCGTTCATTTACTTTTTGAACTGTTTGTTGGCTCTGATTGATAATCATTAGAATTGCGAAATTGTCAAGTTATAGTGAATGGTTCGTGAGCTTATAAATGGGTCAAAAGATTGGTCTGCTTATCTTTGTTGATTTAATTCCCACAGTGTGGACTTTGCTTATGATTTAAGCAATTTTCACTAAAATTTAAAACTATCTGCTGATTTTTTTCAAATGGTGAACGTAATTGTGTATTTTTTGATTCACAATTGTCTTTTGATTTCTTTTTTTTGAAATAAATTAACTTCATTTCGTTTGTTGAAAAGAAAACAAACTCAACTATCGATCAGTAAAAGTGTTAAGGTCACGAACAACTTCTCGATCCAGTTTACTGAAATTGGGTTACTTTTCTCAAGAAAGTCGACCATTAGTTGGTCTGAAAATTCAACGAGCTTCAAGGCCATTTAATTTTTTTTGAATTTCGAAAGTTAAGTTTTGCAAAAATACTAGCCAATTTTTTTTCTGTTTCCTTGCGTTCATTTACTTATCTGTTTGTTGGCTGTGATTGATAATCGTTAGAATTGCGAAATTGTCAAGTTATCGTGAATGGTTCGTGAGCTTATGAATGGGTCAAAAGATAAGTTAAGTTTTGCAAAAATACTAGCGAGTTTTTTTCGTTTCCTTGCGTTCATTTACTTTTTGAACTGTTTGTTGGCTCTGATTGATAATCATTAGAATTGCGAAATTGTCAAGTTATAGTGAATGGTTCGTGAGCTTATGAATGGGTCAAAAGATTGGTCTGCTTATCTTTGTTGATTTAATTCCCACAGTGTGGACTTTGCTTATGATTTAAGCACTTTTCACTAAAATTTAAAACTATTTGTTGTTTTCTCCTAATGGTCGACGTAATTGAGTATTTTTTGATACACAATTGTCTTTTGATTTCTTTTTTTTTGAAATAAATTAATTTCATTTCGTTTGTTGAAAAGAAAACAAACTCAACTATCGATCAGTAAAATTGTTGAGGTCACGAACAACTTCTTGATCCAGTTTACTGAAATTGGGTTACTTTTCTCAAGAAAGTCGAACATGAATTGGTCTGAAAATTCAACGAGCTTCAAAGCCATTTAATTTTTTTTGAATTTCGAAAGTTAAGTTTTGCAAAAATACTAGCCAATTTTTTTTCAGTTTTCTTTGCGTTCATTTACTTAACTGTTTGTTGGCTCTGATTGATTATCGTTAGAATTGCGAAATTGTCAAGTTATCGTGAATGGTTCGTGAGCTTATGAATGGGTCAAAAGATAAGTTAAGTTTTGCAAAAATACTAGCGAGTTTTTTTCGTTTCCTTGCGTTCATTTACTTTTTGAACTGTTTGTTGGCTCTGATTGATAATCATTAGAATTGCGAAATTGTCAAGTTATAGTGAATGGTTCGTGAGCCTATGAATGGGTCAAAAGATTGGTCTGCTTATCTTTGTTGATTTAATTCCCACAGTGTGGACTTTGCTTATGATTTAAGCAATTTTCACTAAAATTTAAAACTATTTGTTGTTTTCTCTTAATGGTCGACGTAATTGATTATTTTTTGATACACAATTGTCTTTTGATTTCTTTTTTTTTGAAAGAAATTAATTTCATTTCGTTTGTTGAAAAGAAAACAAACTCAACTATCGATCAGTTAAATTGTTAAGGTCACGAACAACTTCTTGATCCAGTTTACTGAAATTGGGTTACTTTTCTCAAGAAAGTCGAACATGAATTGGTCTGAAAATTCAACGAGCTTCAAGGCCATTTAATTTTTTTTGAATTTCGAAAGTTAAGTTTTGCAAAAATACTAGCCAGTTTTTTTTTTCTGTTTCCTTGCGTTCATTTACTTAACTGTTTGTTGGCTCTGATTGATTATCGTTACAATTGCGAAATTGTCAAGTTATCGTGAATGGTTCGTGAGCTTATGAATGGGTCAAAAGATAAGTTAAGTTTTGCAAAAATACTAGCGAATTTTTTTCGTTTCCTTGCGTTCATTTACTTTTTGAACTGTTTGTTGGCTCTGATTGATAATCATTAGAATTGCGAAATTGTCAAGTTATAGTGAATGGTTCGTGAGCTTATGAATGGGTCAAAAGATTGGTCTGCGTATCTTTGTTGATTTAATTCCCACAGCGTGGACTTTGCTTATGATTTAAGAAAATTTCACTAAAATTTAAAACTATTTGCTGATTTTTTTCAAATGGTGAACGTAATTGTGTATTTTTTTATTCACAATTGTCTTTTGATTTCTTTATTTTTTCAAATAAATTAACTTCATTTCGTTTGTTAAAAAGAAAAACTCAACTATCGATCAGTAAAAGTGTTAAGGTCACGAACAACTTCTTGATCCAGTTTACTGAAATTGGGTTACTTTTCTCAAGAAAGTCGAACATGAATTGGTCTGAAAATTCAACGAGCTTCAAGGCCCTTTATTTTTTATTTGAAGTTCGAAATTTAAGTTTTGCAAAAATACGAGCCAGTTTTTCTGTTTTCTCGCGTTCATTGACTTTTTTTAACTGTTTGTTGTCTCTGTTTGATAATCATTAGAATTGCGCAATTTTCAAATTATCGTGAGATATTTGTGAGCTTACGAATGGGTCAAAAGATTGGTCTGCTGATGTTTGTTGATTTAATTGCCACAGCGTGGACTTTGCTTATGATTTAAGCATCTTTCTCTAAAATTTAAAATTGTTTGCTGTTTTCTTTAAATGGTGGACGTAATTGAGTATTTTTTGATACACATTTTCGGGATATTTTCTTTTTGGCATTTAATCTTCCTCTTACTGAAAAGTAAGCGCTGAATGGAGCTTCGTCTTAATTTTTCAAGATGACGATATTTATCTGATTGCAAACATTCCAAATAAACGAACTTTTTTCTCCACAAAATTCGCTTCGTTAGATTTTGTCAAGTGAGCGTTTATGATTCAAGAGCGCTATAGAACGGTTTTGTTGTTCGCCTATATAAAGTTCGGCAAAATTGAATCATGTCGCAGCTTTTTATACAACCGATTTTTTTCTACGCCCGAGAGTTTGCCTGTATTTTTTGTATCAGAAGTGGTGCGGTGCTCTGTTTCTCATCTGTGTGTAACTTGAAGCAAGTTAAGGAGCTGAAATATTTTTTCAAATGTTAATTAAGCTCATATTTTAGGCATGGATTAATTAGTTCATGAAGCTTCGTTTAATTTTCTACCATCTAACTAGGCCAAACAATTCTAAAAAAATATGAAAATGATATTGATAATAACGATGGTGAGAACTTAATGTGCAACTTGCCCAGCAGAGGGTTCTCTTTGATAGTTTTCGGTGCAGTTGTACAGCAGCGACTACTTCTAAGGATTGTTTTGATCTCCAGGTTCGAAAGAAATATTAAATGTCTAAAATCTTCGTAAAACTTGTTTTGCAGATAAATCTATGTTCAAGAAGCGCAATGTCAGCAATGCTCGTGCCAATGCCGCTACAAAGAGGGTAGCGAAAGCAGAGAGTGACGAATCAGAGGATAACTCAGACGTTGAAAAGAAAACAGAGAAGACAATAGATGAAGATGAAACCCGGAAGCGCTCGTCGTCATCCGAAGACGAAACTGTGGTTGTTCGGAAAAAGACAAAAAACTCGTCAAATAATCCTATGATTCAGAAGTCATCGTCTTGTAAACTCAATTCTAAAGTAGATGGGTGCGACAATGGTGAAGATAGCAATGTGGCAGGTACTGTTCATTCGTTAAAACAACTAGTCAAAGGGTCTTTGCGTTATTGGAGTGATCAGAGGTAGATCAAAAAGAAGAATTATATCGAGCTTAACATTATATCGCTTAGCATTATAGCTCAACATTATATCGTGTACTTGGAGTAATGTCGGATAGGAATTCGCTGATGAAATATGCAAAGACCCTCTGAATTGAAACATTGCTATTTGGAAGACTATATATATTTCTTAAATATAATCGACAGGACCAAGTGTGAGGAAGGAGCGACTGAAGCCACTGGTTGACTTCACCTTCAAGTCTTCCAGATCGGGTGTTGTGAGTGGACCCGAAGATCAAGGGGCAACCGCCACTGTGCAAGTCGACACTGAGATAGACAGAGACCATAGGGCTGTGATGGAGCGAAAACATGAAGTGGGTGAAATCTTAGCAATCATCGTATGCGTTCCCTTTTTCATTCACGTTTATTTTTTCCAGTAAACGGACCTTTTTTTCTTATCTGCTCTTTCCAGTGAATCAGTTATCATGAAAAATGCAGTGTAAACCGGTTAAAGATTATACAATCTCTTTGCGGGGATGGCTGGATAATCCTCTTTTCATGTCCATTTTAAAGACAGTACTATATGGTAGCCATCAGTTGTTTTAGAAAGCCAGAGTTTTTAAAAATCTGTGTAGAACTTTTTTGAATCGGTTATGTTGAAATTGTTGTTTTTTATGTTTTTCGGTACAACAGATTTATATAAGATATATTTGAGGCTTTTGAAAACAAACCATTTGGTCTAATTACTTTATCTCTGGCTTGATTGGGTTATAAATTGTACAAAACTTTGCATTTTTCTGATTATAAACCTAAAAACAATTTATTATTGTTCCGACCATTGGAAATTGAGAGCAACTTGTTTCCGAGTGTTTTAGTTTTTTTTGTTGTCCACGCAAAATCAGGTACCACTTTTTATCATCGGAATGGGTAGAGTGATATATCATATTAAAGCACGTTCAGTCGTGATTCGAATGGATTAAATTTCAAAAAACTATTTCAGTGTTGAGAAAAACACGTTTGAAACACGAGAAGGATAACTTTGTTGTTGATCCAAAAGCCTATACCGCAAATAATCATCGTAATGGGTGAATTGATTTGTCATATTAAAGCCCTTTCATCCCTGATTAGAACGACGTTAAACAATTTTCAAAAAGTTGTCCCAGTGGCGAGAAAAACCGGTTCGAAACTGTTGAGTTTTAGTCGAATTTCGAGCGAGTAAATCGAGCGAGCAGGCTTATTATAGAAGAAAAAGCCATAAAACTTTACTTTAAGTCCAGTTAAATTATTTTTTGGAGGTTTTTTAGTGCTATCTTGGGAATAACAAATTTCAAAAAATTTACTGCAAAAAATGTATACATTTTTAAAATTCTTTTCCTGTCACTTTTCGACTAAAACCTTTCCCCGATTTGCATTTTTTACTGTGACCTTCGAATGAGCCTAAGTTCTATGTTTTGTCAGATCTTTTTATCATATTGACAAAAAGCATCACTTCCTAGAAAAAGAAACATGAAAAAGTTTTCAAGATATTTTTAAGAGTATGGTCGGACCATTATGTGCTACTTGCACAGCAACCCGCTATCCTAGTCAGGGGTGGATCTAGGATTTTCTCGAAGGGGGGCGGGGCGGATTTTCAAAAAAAAAAAACCTTTTTTTTGACCTTTTTTTAGGGCTCTCCCAAAGCACTGTTTTGCCCCTATTTTGGCAAAGTTTTCTGCGCCGCAGGCAAATTTTTGAGAAAACAGTCAAAAAAGCCGTTTTTGGGCACTTTTGACAAAAAAATCGCGTTTTTTTTTGGAGCGCGCTCCCCCTCAAAGTTAGTATTTATTGGCGCCTTTAGAAAAATTTTAGGGTCGGTCGCCCAAAAATGGATTTCTGAAAAAGTATCAAAGGGGTGACCCTTTGGGTCGGCAGGGGGTCGAATCCCTGAGAGGGGGGGGGGGGGGCGTCCGCCCCTGATCCTAGTTATTATTTGACTTGTAACAGAATTGGCCTAATCCTGGAGATTTTTTCAATGCTTGTGTTTATGTTCTAGGCTCAAGAGACGGGCGACGCATCTTCTATTATTTACACTGGGAAAGACAACTACACCATCTTCAACAAGCCCAAAGAGAAACCAACTGGTGTCAAGGCCGCTTTAACAGGCCCAGTTAGAGCACCCGCTTTCTTACGTGCAACTACACGGTGGGACTACGCACCTGATTTGTGTAAAGACTACAAAGAAACTGGCTTTTGCGGTTTCGGCGATTCGTGTAAGTTTCTTCACGACAGAACCGACTATAAGTTCGGCTGGCAACTTGAGAACGAACACACAGAACAACAAAAACGAGGCCGAACGAAGGAGTCGGAGGATCCGAGTCAATACGAGATCGATTCGTCAGACGAAGACGATTTACCTTTCAAGTGTCTCATCTGTCGTGAGTCATTTGACAAGCCAGTAGTTACGAAGTGTAAGCATTATTTTTGCGAGAAATGTGCTCTTGCCCAATGCAAGAAGAGCATGCGCTGCTTTATATGTGGCGTCGACACGAAGGGAATGTTTAACCCGGCCAAAGAAATAATAGCGAAGATGAACAAATCGAAAGCAGAAGAACAAAGTCGAAGTACCCGTGACAGTGATTGATTGAGTTTAAGTATATGGAGTCTAAATTGACGAAACTCGCGCGTTATTCAGCCGTGATTTTGAATCGGCCCCGATTTGAAGGCCTTGCCCCGATCTCTCGTTGGCTTGCTGGAATTCAACGTAAACTTCAATTGCTAAAAACTCAGTTCCTTGAAACTAGAAACTCGTCTTCGATTTCTAAAATGTTTGTCTTTGATTTTAAAAAATATTCAAATTTGATAATTGACTTGTTTTAAACACTATAAGAAAAATAGCAATCTAAGCTTGAAAATGTATGAATAAATAAAGTTATGATTAAATGCTCGTAGTTCATCGTTCTGACATGGGTTGTCTTGCTTGCCTCATGCAACTATGCACAAGGAGAAAAGTCAAAAGGAATGAAATCAAGCTCATTGTTGTCAAGCAATACAGTAGTTGACCTGACAAACTTTTAAACAAAGCATGTGTAAATTTACCCATTTGAGACCAAGTGTCTGATAGCCGAGAACTAGATTTGTTTCAATGAACGGCTTCAGCCATTTCTCTATAGTGACATGAGCGTTTTCTGGGTTCGCGATAAACCAGCTAACTTATGTATAATTAAGATAATTAACCTTATTTATACACTAAGTTTTCTTGTGCTTGCTTTGGGATACAATCATGCGAAAAGATATGATTCATTGTGTTTTAGTTGAAAATAGGATTCTAGTTTGAGCTTTTTTTTTGCAGACTTAATTTCACTCTGATTTTTGGCTATCTTATCTTTTGGACGCGTGTGGTCAGAGCACATTTTGTGGTCATTAAGCAAGCGTTATCAAACCGATTTTGTTCCTTTAACTTCGATTGAAGAGGTTATTTTACAGAGCTTTGTAATGTTAAAGTGTTCATTAATTATATTGTTTTGCCTGAAAAGTAATTAATGTTATGTCATTTGGATGTCTGTTCGACTTCAGCTCCTATGAGCAGTGATTTTAAAGAAAATAATCAATCATTTTTTCATGGAAAAATTTTGGTAACGATTTGGAAAACATTTTTTCTTCATTTTGTTCATTTTTATGCTACAAAGACCGATAATTTTGTACAGCATGATCTATCGTTTTATTTACACTAGCGAACTTAAGTGAGCGTTAGTGTTTTATTACGACTATTCTTTTTTTTACAAGGGAACTTAAGTGAGTGTTAGTGTCAATTACGACTATTCGTTTTTTTCTAACCTAAGTCGCAAATAGTGGTACCACTTTTGGTGACACCTTAAAGCTTTTTAATTGCTTGTGCTTTGACATTCGATTAGTGATTATTTAACTCAATTGATGCATTTTTCCTTGTTCGAATGAACCAAAAAAAGCTATTTGCTTCAAATAAGAAGACAAAAAAAGACTCGATTTCAGAAGTTTTCTAACACAATATGTTTGAAATGCATATTTTAAATATATTGTGGCTGTATGCTTTCCAATTTATTACTTGCAGAGTTAGTTTGAATGCCTTTAGTTTGTTATATTCCAATTCATTAAATGCAAAATTGTGCCTATTTGTATTTGGTGCCACTTTTGCTACATGGCATTGGCAATTTATTAGCGTTTGTAGCTGCTTTATTTGTGACTAGTGTTTGCCCATTGTTAAGCGTTCGTGGCCGAGAAGGCAGGGCGTGAGATTCATTTCTCGAGATAGCAGGTTCGAAGCCAATACGTAGCAAAGTTCACTAATTCGAGGCTCATTTTTATTTTTCCTTATTTCCTTTTATAAAGCTGCTTTTTGTCATGTTCTTGCTTGTGTTTTCATCTCTGCGTAAAGATTTTTTTTTGTTTCAAGCAGCAAGGAGAAAACTTTTTTTTACTGAGCAAAACCTTCAATATGTACTAAAAAAGTAAGAATTGTTGAAAATTATTTCCGATTTTTGAAAGTGACTAAAACAGCCGCAGCATATTTTTAGCAATAAAAATCTTGATTTTTGAAAATGACAATAGCAGCCAAATAGCATATTGCTAATAATCAAAAACTCGATTTTTGATAGTATTCAAGAACAAAAAATTGTTAGTAATATAGGTCGTCGTCGTTTCTTTTGTTCTTCTGAGGAAAACTTCAAACTTGTTCATGCTTCAGTTTAATTTTTCGCGGCTTGACTTTGGTTTCCTATAAAGGTCAGTTCATTGTTTTCTGAAAATTCAAGCAAGCTCCACTATCGAAGTGCAAGAGTCATGAAAAACGCGAATAATTTCCTGTTACAAAAACAGGCTTTTTGAATTTCTAGAGGAATGAAAAATTTCATCTGTTGATCTAGTTGTCTCTAAATAGAATAATTTTAAGAAAAAAGAGCTCAAGTATGACAGATTCGTAAAATTCTAACGGTATCAATTTTTTCTTCAAATTCTGATTTTTTTTGGTTTTCTTGAGCTTTTTTTAACGTTTTTCAATCATATTTGCTGGTCATATTTCAAAATGAGTTAATACTCCTAGGTTTACCTAGGACTGGTGAAAAACGTGGCCTAGTATGAAATTTTTAAATCTCTCTTCAAGTAACCTCGAAGAAAGCTTGTTCCTTGCCCAGAATGATATAACTACGTTTGCGGTGAGGAAGCATTGTCAAATCAGAAAACAGACTTTTTCACTGATTTTTTCCCCTCAAATCTGTTCTTTAATCAACAATAGACATATTTTTAGCATGTCTGGACTTTGTTTGTTTGCAATCTGCTTGTTTTTTAAATTTAATTGAAAATTTACAAAATCCGATGTGGTTCATTTTCAATTGTGTCGTTATTCGGTTTATGCTATATTGGTTTCGTTGTCTCACTTTGCTTCGTTTGATGGGCAAAACAAATTTGCGTTTGTGCTTGGAGGCAGGACTTGAAAAATTTGTTTTGGAGATAAGTTTTATGAAAACATTTTATTTCAACTCGACGAATATCTGCTGAAGTATTGCTGGCTCTGATTTTGCATTGTAAGATTTTAATGATTATAATTTAACATCCAAAACTCTAAATTCGCATGCTTTTTTCAGAGTGAATGTTTTTGAAGACTATTAGAGACAGTTATATGGAAGCTTAAATAGATCTAGTTGCTTTTGTATAATATCGGTTTCTGAAAAGATATCAACAAAATTTTTTGCAGTGTTAATCTGTTGTATTTTTGAATGCAAGCTTCACAATCTCGGCACGCTGAAGATTTTTCAACGTATTATTTCTGCATGTTTAACGAAAGAGTTTTTTCATGTTGAAGCTATATCGTTTATTACAATGCCTTTAGTTTGTTATATTCCAATTCATTAGATGCAAAATTGTGCCTGTTTGTATTTGGTGCCACTTTTGCTACATGGCATTGGCATTTTTTAGCGTTTGTAGCTGCTTTATTTGTGACTAGTGTTTGCCCATTGTTGAGCGTTCGTGGCCGAGAAGGCAGGGCGTGAGATTCAATTCTCGAGATAGCAGGTTCGAAGCCAATACGTAGCAAAGTTCACTAATTCGAGGCTCATTTTTATTTTTCCTTATTTCCTTTTATAAAGCTGCTTTTTGTCGTGTTCTTGCTTGTGTTTTCATCTCTGCGTAAAGAATTTTTTTTTGTTTCAAGCAGCAAGGAAAAATCTTTTTTTTTACTGAGCAAAACCTTCAATATGTACTAAAAAAGTAAGAATTGTTGAAAATTATTTCTGATTTTTGAAAGTGACTAAAACAGCCGCAGCATATTTTTAGCAATAAAAATCTTGATTTTTGAAAATGACAATAGCAGCCAAATAGCATATTGCTAATAATCAAAAACTCGATTTTCGATAGTATTCAAGAACAAAAAATTGTTAGTAATATAGGTCGTCGTCGTTTCTTTTGTTCTTCTGAGGAAAACTTCAAACTTGTTCATGCTTCAGTTTAATTTTTCGCGGCTTGACTTTGGTTTCCTATAAAGGTCAGTTCATTGTTTTCTGAAAATTCAAACAAGCTCCACTATCGAAGTGCAAGAGTCATGAAAAACGCGAATAATTTCCTGTTACAAAAACAGGCTTTTTGAATTTCTAGAGGAATGAAAAATTTCATCTGTTGATCTAGTTGTCTCTAAGTAGAATAATTTTAAGAAAAAAGAGCTCAAGTATGACATTCGTAAAATTCTAACGGTATCAATTTTTCTTCAAATTCTGATTTTTTTTCGTTTTCTTGAGCTTTTTTTAACGTTTTTCAATCATATTTGCTGGTCATATTTCAAAATGAGTTAATACTCCTAGGTTTACCTAGGACTGGTGAAAAACGTGGCCTAGTATGAAATTTTTAAATCTCTCTTCAAGTAACCTCGAAGAAAGCTTGTTCCTTGCCCAGAATGATATAACTACGTTTGCGGCGAGGAAGCGTTGTCAAATCAGAAAACAGACTTTTTCACTGATTTTTTTCCCCTCAAATCTGTTCTTTAATCAACAATAGGCATATTTTTAGCATGTCTGGACTTTGTTTGTTTGGAATCTGTTTGTTTTTTAAATTTAATTGAAAATTTACAAAATCCGATGTGGTTCATTTTCAATTGTGTTGTTATTCGGTTTATGCTATATTGGTTTCGTTGTCTCACTTTGCTTCGTTTGATGGGCAAAACAAATTTGCGTTTGTGCTTGGAGACAGGACTTGAAAAATTTGTTTTGGAGATAAGTTTTATGAAAACATTTTATTTCAACTCGACGAATATCTGCTGAAGTATTGCTGGCTCTGATTTTGCATTGTAAGATTTTAATGATTATAATTTAACATCCAAAACTCTAAATTCGCATGCTTTTTTCAGAGTGAATGTTTTTGAAGACTATTAGAGACAGTTATATGGAAGCTTAAATAGATCTAGTTGCTTTTGTATAATATCGGTTTCTGAAAAGATATCAACAAAATTTTTTGCAGTGTTAATCTGTTGTATTTTTGAATGTAAGCTTCACAATCTCGGCACGCTGAAGATTTTTCAACGTATTATTTTTGCATGTTTTTAACGAAAGAGTTTTTTCATGTTGAAGCTATATCGTTTATTACAATGGTTTACAATTTTTTTTTGAGTTTTCATATTGAATTCGCTGTTAATTTATCAGTGTTATAAAAAGTGATTCAATAGTGGGATGATGTAAGGGTTCTCAAGGGGTTGCAATTTTGGCCTCCACGTATGAATACCTAAATTCTTTTAATTTACGAGATGCGACAAGATTTGTGATTTTTCAAGTTTTCTGAAAAAAAAATCCTTGAAAAATTTGAAATTCCCAAAACTGTAGTTGAGCGCTGCCAGGCTACTTTCAGGGGTTGCGAATCTTGCCTCCGCAGATGACTGCTCAAATCTCTTGTTTTAGAGAAATGACGTTTTATATGTTTTTTTTAAACTTCCAGAAATTTTACACTTAAAAAAACTCAAAATCCTTGAAATTCCAACCCCTTAAGTTAGTCTGTAGTTGGGTGTTCTGAGAGTACCCTCACGGTTGCGAATCTTGCCTCCAATTATGACCGCTCAGATCTGTGTTCTATTCGAGATATTACGTTTTTAAAGATTTGTTCAAAAATTTTAAAATAACTTGAAACTTGAGGTGTTGTTAGGATACTCTTCAGAGTTGCAAATCTTGTCTCCAAAGTTAACTGCTCAAATGCATTTGTTTTCCGAGATGTTATGCTTTTTTAAAATATTTTTCCCATTTTTTTCAACAAAAGTTTGAGCAAAAAAAATTAATTTCACAACTCATTCTTAATTTCTAAGATATGCTGTTTGTTATCTTTTTCAAATTTTTTTGAGGTCTAAAAAACTCTACAAAGTTCGAAATACTCAACACTAAGGCGGGGAGCTTCAGGATGTTCACATGGACTCCAAATGGGACTGCTCAACGCCTTTCACCTTCTTCGATATAACGTTTTTACCTTTTTTGAAAATTTTTAAACGTGATCACAAAAAGTAAATTTAGACATTAGAAATTGTCGACCCTTTGGTGGGGTATTGTCAGGTTACTTCCAGTCGATTTAGATCTGGCCTTCTATCCTAATATTATCACTCCATTTTTTAAGTTTTCACTTATGGCGTATCTTATGATCTTTCAAATTGTTTTTATCAAACTTACAAATAAAATAGGAAAAAAAGAGCTGTTTTTAAAAATTAATTAGGCTGCATTATGAATCATATTAATGAATTTTATGATTTTCCAAACAAAGTTGTTTGAATTTTCATTTAATATGGAAGGTGCAGTTGTATGCTGTCGGTCGTTTTAGGGTTCTGTTTGTGAGTTAAAATTACAAAAATCTGAAACCCAGTATCTTTTGGAGATTTGACGATTTTATTTTATTAAACCCTTTGTCAAAAATAATTTAATCGTTCAAATTTTGAAACAAAAGAGTTGTTGAGGTCTGCCGTCTTTTGTTACGGCTGTGTTTATTTTGTTGTTTATATATAAGCAACCTTGTTTATATATAAGTAAACTAGTTGTTCAAATAGTTTATATATATGCAACTTTAATTTTCCCTTATCTTTTTGAAGTACCGGAGGTACGATACACGCTAGTTATAAATATTCTGAATAATTGCGTTTTTCGGGAAAATGTATTGTGATGATTATATGGAAATTTTCACGTCCAGTTTTACTTCACTTTTCTTAATAACCTTTTGAGGCCACTGATACCTAGTTTTGAATAGTATTTTCTGACATTCTTATAGCTAAAGAACATGGCTTGAAATATTCAAAAACAAGCCTATGAAATTTTCTTGAACGCTATTATTGTTTTAATTATTATTCTTTTTTGCAATGATAAAAATGCAGGGAATTTTCTGAGATTCTCTGTAGCAACCGTTTCTTCTCGTTTTGAATATTAAACAGCTTGATTAATAACTCATTTTTTGCTCGTCAAGGAAAGCACTTACTCGAAAATCACTCTTGATTTCTGCAAACTCGAAACAAAAAAGGAGTAGCCGGGTGTTTTTTTAGCAGAAACTGATGTGACTACACTTATTATTGCAAAAACTGAAAAATGAAAAATCAAGGGATTATTGCAAAAAAAAGTCAAGAGATCTTTTCACTGCATAGACTTGGCTCAGAGCATAAACTTGGCGATTAACCCAGTTAGCTATCAATTGGTACGAAAGCCAGTATTTGGTATATTCATATTTCTCCCACAGACAATTTTCTCGATTTTTTTCTGGAGTTTAGGTCTCGATCAAATAAGTTATATTGTGATAGCACACTTTAAACCCTAAAACTTTTTTGAAGCATCTAAAATTGGTTTCAAAGCAATCTACGCCGTAGTTCCTTCCAGTAAGTTCCAGTGAAGTAGTCGGAAAAAATTGGAGCATGTTTGGATACGTTTCTCTGTCGGTGGGTAGAACTTGATCATTAAATGCTTGAACCTATTTATATTTTGCCCCTTAGTTCTATATTCTAACCGAACTTAGTTTTATTGATTCAATTTTGACATTGAACGTTCAAACTGAAATCTTAACTCAACAAATTTGATCAAATATCGACCCACAATGTGGCAATTGTGCTGCTTCGTTTTGATTTATGTTCCGTTGGTTTCTGGAAGGTACCATTGGTCCATATGTCCGGATGTAGAACCTCTGGCTGAAGTAAATACAACTGACTTGGAGGGGCTCTGGTTCGAGATTGAGAAGTTCGACTTGTATTACGAGCGCAGACTTGCAAGATGTACCATTTTGAGGCTGTCTATGGACAACGAAACGCGAGGTAACGCTTAAGAGTTTAAATCAACCTGGTCGACTTTATTCATGCGGATAAAAGCATATTCGCGTGTTTGATTCCACCTGTTATAAAGGCGTTTTTTTTTCAAAGTGTCAATCACTGCAACTTTTGGAGCCGTCACAGAATATTACATGCTTTTGGGTTAGTGAAAGGCCAAAAGTGTGATTCGCTCAACCATTTTCAAAAGCCCTGGCCTAATTAACACTACTGAATATATTCCGTGAATAATTTGGTGTCGTAAATATCAGTGAAGGTAGAGTCATGTATTTTTTAATTAAGTTAAGTTATTTTGCAACAAATTGGCCTTGAATTTCGTTATTAGATGTGCACCCGACCTTGAAGTTCAAAAAATTTGGCAAGGAACGAAATGGTTACCATACCATTCAGGGGTCACTCATTCACATGGGTCAGCCGAGAGGGAGATTCTTGGGAAACCTGTGGAGAAGCCAAGACATCTTTGGCAGAGTGTTTGACCTCAGTCTAATGGCATTCGAGCCGAATGAGTACATGTTGTTCTACGAGTGTACTTCGTTCGGCTTCGAAAATATGTGGATCTACAGCCGGAACCGATATCTCTCCTTTGAGACTAGAGAAAAACTTACCAAGATGATGGTGGATTTGGAAGTGGACATGAGAGGCGTGATCATAACCGATCAAGCGAATTGTCCTTAACTCTCAAATGATCTGGCAGCTAAAATGTAAACTAGTACTGTGAACAAATAAATGAAGATAGTAATTTACATGAGCGAAGCGTAGTGTCGGGGGCGGATCTAGGATTTTCTGGAGGAGGGGCGTTTTGACGACCTTTTTTTAGGTCGACCAAATTGATTTCCCGAGCTCGCCTAAAGCAATAAAAAGACGCTGTCTTGGCAATTTTTTATATTAGATAAAATGTTCCTTTGTTACAGCTAATTCTACTTATTTACAGATAAAAATGTGGTTAGAAGTGAATTAATCTGAAAGTTAAAACATTAAAAAGTTAAAGAGCATTCTCTCCGCCGGAGAAAATGAACGTATCAAGGTCATAACTAAGTACCAGTTATGATGACTAACAAATTAATTATAAGAAACGATTAAGATAATGCAATTCACAACCTTCCCCTAAATAGGAAAAAAAATTAAACTAATTTAAAGGCAACTGACTCTATTCTCCCCATAAATGAAGCTGACGAAATTTTAATACTACCACTAAAATACTGCAGCAAAGAATAATACTCCGTAGGATCAACTTTTGATATAAAGGCAGGTAAACTAAGGCATAATAAACTTAATAAGGTTAAATCAGCATGATAAGCAGGATGAATTTGGCGGAATACGCCCCAAAAGAAAGAAAAATAGTTGACCAATTAAAATAACTAATCCTAACTGCACTGGATTTTGTTACGGGCTCTGAATGATTTTAAAATCAAAGCACGATAAAAGCACTAAGGATTACACTGGATACTACATTCGGTAATCACGATTTGAGCTTAAAGAAAAAAGTTTTCAATTTACAATTTGTCTTCTTCAATGAATTTTTCTAATTCTGCATCAAAGAGTTCACTATCCAGATCAATGAGCTCTTCAAAATTGTTTACATCCTCTCTTAATGACTAGTCGGTGGAAGAAATAGAAATTGTGTCCGATGATAAGGCGTCTGATGCACTTGCTGTAGTTTCCGCCGAATGAATGCTGAAGATCGGAGTTTTCTTATCCGAACGAATTTGCGTAGTGGTAGTTGTGCTATTGCCGTTTAGTGAGATTGGGCTTCAGGGCTGATCCAGGTTGATTGTCCCTGTCGTCTATAATATCTATATAGAACCTTTTTCCATAAAATTGAGGAGGTCCTACGTTACATCTCGAGCGTCTTAGTTTAAGTTCATCACCGGTGGTACTGATTTCCTCCGGACGTGGTCCCTGAGTGGTACCGTTGTCGTCTGAAGAATCCCCAATCTCATAGGTTGTGAAGTCAACCGATTTGTCGCCCTCCACTTTCTTCCACGGCTCCGTTGGAACGTTCCAGGGTTTGGTCTCTAAGTAGGAAGGGAAGTCAGTGGTGTGATGATGTTGAGTTGAGCTCTGTCCTGCAGGGATTGGGCAGTCCACTGATCGGGCAGTCCAGCGGATCCGAAGTTGAAGGCTGGTTATCTAAAATCTCAGATTTTATGTTACCCTGGGTTGTTTGGGGGTCTAAAGAGGGTATAGGAGGTTCCTGTTGGCTACAATTATCCGAGATAATGCGTTCTACAATCATTTCCCTGCAAGGGAAACCGCCCGCGATCCATTCCCAACCGCTGAAGTCTGACGTATCCGACGGAATTATCATCGTTTTGTCACCTGCTAATTAGTACGCTTGTGATGAAGTGTCTTTGTTTCGAGTTGGTCTGCTCTTGACTGGTTTAGTGGATTGATTTGATAATCTCGTCCTTGTTTTCTTGTCGGAAGTGGCCGATTTTGTCTGTTGTCTTGTCTTCGGGCCCATTTTTCTTGTCGGCAGAATTTTTGGTTTGATCATCTTACTTGAACCTAATTCAAAATCAAAGTTAAGAAATGATGGAAAAGAAATATTTCTACTAAAGGAGCGAGTAGTAGATGAATTAGATTTCGGGAGAGCAAGGTCAGATTTTCTGTTGATTTTTTTGTTGGATAATTCTACCGTTGTTTTTGATGTGTTTATAATTTTCTCGTTAAGTTGTTTGTAGTAAGTGTTTCCGTTTATGCTTCCTTTGGTTTTTCGTAGTATTTTAGCTTTAAAAGGACTTTGTAGAGGCTAGCGAGAAGAAGAGGGTTTCGAGGCTGATGGGTAGTCGGACTCGTAACTTTTCTCCAATGGGGACTGGTTCTTCTTATGTAATAAATTGTCTTTGTAGTCATCTGCAATCCGATCATCTGTTTTCCAGTCTATTGCCCGTTTCTTGCATGAGATTGATTTTCCTTTGCTAAAAATCCATCGGATAAATAATCAATGGCCAATTGTTTCCAGATCGTATTAGGTGTCCTATTGAAGTGTATTTTGAATGGTGAGCATTTTATTTATGATTGAAAAGAAGAGCGGAGATTCCAAAAAAGTTTTTGAGAAATCGTGTTGTAGAGTAGGTTTTTGTTGTTCGAGTGACATTGCTAATAATTTAATTTTTACAGTATGAATAAGTTTTTTTACAAGACCGTTAGAGCGATGGTCGCCGACTGTACAAAATATTAAATTAATAAAATTGGAATTGCAAAATAGTTTGAATTCCTGGCTAGTAAAACAGGAAGCGTGATCAACGCGAATAGAAAATGGAATGCTATGAACATAAAAATAATCCTGAAGAAATTGGATCACTGGGATAGAAGAGGTTGACGAAGTTATTTTAGCCGATGGAAATTTCGAAAATCGGTCGATGCAAAATAGAAGGTATATATTCTTTCCCCAAATGGAATCCAATGGACTGGCGAAATCGAGATTTAAATCCTCGCTAGGTTCGGATAATGGTAATAGTTCGCTGATTTGAGTATTAGGTACAATGCTTTTTATATTCTTACCGGCTTGAGTGCACTGCGAACAATTTATCCCGTGAAAGTAAATCTGGCGATTTATGTGTGGCCACCATATGTACTGCGCTAGTTACTTCATTTGCCCAGGGTGAGGTTCATGAAGGGTTTTCAATACTGCGTTTCGTAAAGTAAAGGGGATAAAAAGTGTTCCGTCCATGTAGAGCAATCCGTCTGATTCATGCAGATCTTTTGTAATTGGGCTTAGGTAATGATGGTTAGCATTAATCGTTTCTACTTTATTTTGAAGGGCTTTAATGATCGGACTTAGCATTGGGTCTTCCCCACATAATAGGGCAACCAATTTAGCATTAAATAACTAATTTAGGTCCAAAGGTCGTTCCGGCAACTTCAAACTCTCGCGGTATTGTTTCACTAGCTTTTCATGCTCTGATAAACTTGGGAATTCGACTGTGACCTGAATACCGGAAGTAGAAGGGTTAATTACAATTTGATTATTCGACACTATTTACATTTTTAAGATCCTGAGAATTAATAACTGAGCTACAATTAAGAACTAAAAAAAAGAAAAGCAGAATTTGATAAAGAAAATTTTGTTGAATCAATGTTCAAAAAATCCGAAGGAATACGTTTAGAATTACCAAATTCAGTTCTGTAGTGTTTTAGATTGCAAATTGGAACGATTGAGTAAATTGATTTTAGAACTGAGTTGATCATATAATTACGTAACTTTGCGTAATCGGAATTTTCCAAATTCGAAACAATAGCATTACATATCGATTTTCCGTTATTCAATGGATTCAAAGCTTTGTAATTTTTCTTAAAACCCATGTCTTTCCCTACTAAGTGTTTATCATTGTAAAATTATACGGTAAAAGACGATCGATCCATCTTGTTAAACGACATTGAAAAGTTTTATTTCCATGATTCGGTAAGAGTGCTGAAAAGAGGGCTTTATCGTCCGTAATAATTTCAAATTTTGAGCCGTAAAAATAATTCTTATAATGTTCTACCGCCCAAACAACTCCCAGGAATTCCAATTCATTTGTGGAATATTTGGGTTCATGTGGAGTTAAAAATCTTGAGGCAAAAGAGACTGTTTTCCAATCATTCCCATTGAGTTGTTCGAGAGAAGCACCAAGTCCATTATGAGAGGCGTCAGTTTTTACTATCGTAACCTGTTTAACATCAAAATGTGTGTTTAAGGTAAGGCTGACTATTTCTAAATTGATTCTCTCGAGTGCTTTTGTGTGATCTTCATACCAAAAGAAAATTGATTTCTTGTTTAGTAGTGTTCTAAAAAGGACTTCCGAGGGATGCTAGGTTTGGTACAATTTTGATATTTTGATTTGTTGACCCGAAGAATGATCTTAACTACTTCAAGTATTTTGGAATTGTGATATGTTTGGTAGCCTTGGTTTTGTCAATTAAAGGAGCGATCCCTAATTTAGATATTTTAAAACCGAGCCAATCTGTTTCTTTTTGAAAAAATTTACATTTTGGACATTTGACTGTGAAAATGTAATGATCTAAAATCGATAAAATTTTATAAACAATGTTCTTGTGGTCTGTAAAACTTCTTTTGGAAGCCACTGAAATATCGTCGAGGTAACAATTAGTAAAAGGAATATTTCCGATTGTTGAGTCTATGACTCTTTGAAATTCATTTGGCATATCGCCGAGTCCATGAAAACCAGTTAAAAATTGCTATGTCTCCGCCTGCCCAAGCTAAAATTGCATTGGCTGCTGGTAAAGTTATATCGAGAAAGTTGGCTATATGCTTTCTTTAAGTCCAAATTGGTATACCAAACTTCTCCGACGGAATCGTTTGAAATTTGCGAGGCTACGTTATTGACTAATTCGTAAATGTTGGGCATCTGATATTTGTTCTTGTAATTTTGTTTGTTAACGAATTTCGAGTTTGGAGCTAATTTGATCGATTTATCCTTTTTGCAGGTGATAACTATTGGACTAATAAAACTATCCTCGTCGCAATTTTCCCATTTTTTGATATGTCCTTCGGGTTTGAGTCGGTTTAGTGCTGTCTTTAATGAATCAAGTAAATAGAGGGGAACGCGTCTGCCCTTTAGTTGTATTAGTTTTAAAGGTTCGTGGAAAATTGTTATTTTTGTTCTACAATTTTTACATTTTTACGACGTGATTCACAAAGTCTAGTGAAATATCCGCGGTATTTACAAGATGTACAAGTTGAGTCTTTCGCGGGGCACACTGCTAGATTTCCTTTTGAA